ATGATTTGAGGACGAAACCTTGCTGTTTAATTAAACCATCCGTATGAGTTATGGCCTGGTGTGCATGTGGGTTTCTTCACTTAACATCCCAAACGACTTAATTTTTCATCAACGGTGAGGCTTAGTGATGTGTATTTTCGTATGACCGAGGGTTCAATTTGTTCAACACAAAACCACTACTATCGGAGCAGGTCTTTTTAATTGGTAACTTTTAGCTACTTTTTCAACTACGGAGAAAGCAATAAACATTTGCATAAGGCTGTTGATCCAATGCTCAAAATTGGTCTGACGAAGACTGGCCCTATTAAGCGGCCTCATGTGAGGGAAGTGGAGGAATCGAAAAAGCTCCAGGCTGAAGAGAACCAACGCACCGCGCGCACTAACACTAGAGGTTTCAGACATGCGCGGCGACAGCTGGCCAATGGCGTGCGCCGCGTAAACACGTGCTTTTTGCGCGTTTTCCGCCGACTGGAGGCACGTCCGATGGTGCCGCCGTGCTCCCGAGCCTTCCTGTGGTCGAATGGCAGTGACGCTGGAGCAACTTTCCAGCATCAACTCAAAGGTACTGCGAGTAGCTGAACACTAATGAAATGGAGAATATCTCCAGAATTGTGCTGCATCATCTTATTTTGTGCCACCGAACACCGTAATCGGTTGTCTGAGCTAATGCACTGCCTACTTGTCTAGTTAGACGACCATCAAGGCTTTTTGGACTATCTCCGGGAGGATAGTGAAGAACTTGAGACGTGATTCTAGGTTATGCCACATAAGCTTTTACTGGGGGAGTCTTAAATCTTTGTGAATGCCACCAATCGATTCCAAGTGTCGACGACTGCGACTAGGTAATAACTCGTGACTAGGGGGAAGGCTGACAAAAATGGGAAAAAAGAAGGTTCCCCCACCGAGACACGGCTACTGTCTTGACCGGGGTTGGGGTACATCGAAACGATGAAACAGCTTCCATATAACGTGAATTTATGGCGTTTACAGTGGAAAAATCTTGGCAGGCAATAATGGTCAATTGAGTTCACTGCATGAACTAAACGACCTACAAAGCTCCGGGAGCTGAGGAAGTGTCTTTCCCTCTTGGGTGTCTGCTCAAATACCGCACTTAATAATCCTGAACAAGCATAAATTGCCAGAGCAAGCATTGAATCGACGTCAACCATCTTAGAGTGATGTGGCATAATTACGTATCTCATTAGAGTTGACGAATCTACTGCTTAATTCATCCGCTACCTCGCCAAATATCATGGCGCGGGGGCTGCAAAATGCAGTCGGGGAGCTGTAGGGGGTTTCTTTACTGGAGGAGCCAGAGCAGTGGCACTAGAGGCAGGCCCGACCTTAAAATTGCATGTTTTCGATGTCGCCCTCCGAGTTAAGGTGGGAGCCCGTCTCCTCTATAGGATTCCCGGTCGAACGTAGAATATCACGTAGGTCTGTCGACTTTGACCTCAAGAAAATTGGTGGGGTTGGGAAACTGAAAAAATGGGCCCTACATGACTGAAAAATCGGCAGACACTGGAAAGCGTAAATAAACTTATCCTTTTCCAGCGGAAAACGTACGCTCTTTAGAGAAAACTGTAGTAGGCTCTAAAGTGGACCAAATACAACAGTTTACACGCAGGACCCACAGGGCCAGCTAGTTAGCATGATCACAGTATTTGAGGTCATCTGGTAAATTGTAATCGAGTTCTCTTCACTACAAGTTTTGAACGCAATTGAAAAATTGCACAGCATAGGTCAAGGCAATTAGGGCTCTTCCTTAAATCGCAACCAGTTTCTATAAAATTCGGGCCAGAATGTGGGAACAAATCATCCCAAAAAGAGTCAATTGACCCTTTTTTAAAGTAAATGTTAAAGTTCATAACACTTGTGATGAGTTGACTCTGGAACAGTGATTTATCCACAGGGATGGCTAACTTTCACTTTGCAGTTCTTCTTGCCAATTTATGTTTGTCACTTTCTGATCCACACAAAAACTCCAGGTGATGGGTCAAAATGTGGCGTATCACCACCTCTGGCTTGGCAGCATCTTTGCTTCAGGAGTTGGCGATGGCGACTCCGGGCACATCGGCTAAATAACCAGTCAATTCGTCGGAAAATCGTTAACATTCGGTAAACCTGAGTTTTTAGAGCTGCTAAATAATTGTAATCTGGATCTTCCTTATTGGGCATGGTAACAGTAGCTGACAACACTAAACTTACTCCACAGAAAGCGGCTAAACGGCGTCATTGGACTGGATCACCATTCGCGCGAATTCCGTGTCATCTTTTAGTAGGTTAAAGTGTGCCTACTTAGTGAATGGCCTCCGTGGCCACATATACGCCACACAGGAAGTGGAGCCAGAGGGGAAGGCGACAAAACAGCCCATTTGACATTCTCAACAGTCCAGTAATACCATGATCTACACACGTGCAGGCCTTGGGCAATAATATACAGCTAGGTGAGCACTTTGAATCAACACGGTGACGCGACATCAACACCACAGGAATAAAACTCGATCAACTTTACGGGTTTCGCGGTTAAAGTATACTTACAATGTCGATTATACTTGTAAGTTATCAAAAAACCACCCGTTTGCAGCGCTAATCATTCTCCTAAACTCTCTTGGTTCCAAAGTTATTAACCTATAGACAGCATTTTTTCAGTCGACATGAGCACGCACTCTACAAGAAATTTAACCGCCTGATTTACTCTTCAACTGAAAATTCTTGCTTATGCTGCCCAGGTATGAAAGATTGGTAAGAATACGTATTTATCATTTACTTGATAGCCTCAAGGCACCTGCTCCAACTTATAACCTTGCTCGTCGTTTGTTAAACCGGTAGCAATGCTACGACGACCGCCTTAAGATGGCGCGACCCCGGTCTGCTCGCCTGACCCAAGCACCCACCGTAAAGTTACGCGCCCGCTCACGCCGCCAAGGCACGTCAACACTCAGTCAAACAGCTAATCATTTATTGTAATGTGAAGACCGATGTTAAGCAGATGGCGATGGCAGATACGTGAGGAAAACTCCGAAAAATAGCAGACACTTGAAGTTGCATGGTAACAGTAGTGCTGCCCTCCGGTTACTGAATCGGCCCAAACAAGCAACAGCAAGAAATGCAGCAGACCTCAAATAATTTTAATGTGCATCGTCAAATATGACAAAAGAGAAAGGGGAAGCAGTTTGTTCACCGTTGGTTCGTGGGCTGATACCCTTCTTGCGTTTTGCGCACTCATCCGAAGCCATAGAAACGATTTCACCACATTCCCTGAACTTAGTCATATTAGTTGTCAATCCTTAAGACGCCTCAGTGGCTGTATAGCGAAAAGTCGGGTCCTAAAGAACGTTGGGTCTGAGTTTGACAAGTTAGCACGTCCTACTCAGGGCAGAAATTTGAAAAAAAAATGCAAATCAAAATTAAAGCACAGATACTCCTGGTGGCGCCTGGTTTAGATGCGTTTGTTTGGAAATCTAGCGTTGTGAATATAAAAGAAGCCAGATGAAGCTACCTGTCACACAGCTAGATAACCAAAGAATGGCAACTAAACTTTCTCGGAAGAGATCACGAAGGAAAAACGAAATACGCGAAATCAACTTACCATTAATAATTTGATAATCAGCCGTCTTTCGGTCAGTATACCCACACACGGTCACAAGAATCCTAAGATGCGTACAAAGGGTCCTGTGCTCAGTTGGCCTGCAGTACACACACATTGGCTTAGAGCGTTCTAATTCCCTCTGACACAGGCAACCTAATGAAATTCAAAGGGAGGCTAGTTATTGACCACGCGAACCACGAGTAGACAGAGCAACTTACCCAGCACGACCGTCAGGAAGGCGAAGGAGTCAACAACCACTCGCGAGCTTGCTGGTTTTTAAACTGCGACAACAACAAATCGGACCAGAACAACAACACATCGCCTTAGTAGTCTTCTCGCACGCTAATGGCTCAGTCCAAGGTTAGTGGTACGTGCGCACCGTCTGGGTTTGCGTGTGGGTGCATGTAACCAATCAAATGTGCCTACTGGCTAATTGACCTTAAGTTCTAGCAACGTGCACAGTCAGGACGATGAAAGTTCAGGAGGCCAGAGGGTCTTGGCTGGTACTCCGCATGGCGGCCTCAGTGTGGGTGGCAATTAGCGGGCCCATTTGGGGGCAAGATCATTTCCACCGACTCCTTTTCTGGATCTGTGAAGGACAAATTCGTACTTATGGTTTATTGTTTTGCGAGTTTTTGGTCACTGCATGGCCTGGAGCGGGTGAAGTGTTTCCGTTAAAAGCTAGTCAGTGATAGGCATGCTATTTCCAATTATGGCGCATAGTTTGCTCATAGAAATAAAATGATTCGACCAAATTCTCAACAGTAGAAAGTAGTTAGATGGTTTGCTTTGCTCTTTTAAGGTTTCCCACCTGCCACGAGATCTAGAAGGGTATTGAGTTCTACACGAATGCTACATACAAAACCGCTGGATGGCCTTTTTCAAGTGATCACAATCGTTTTTTTATACGGTGGGATGGATTGTTCAGATTCATTGATTTAAAATTTGCTAGTTAATATTACAAAATTGGAGGGATGGTCATTCTATGTTGGTTATAAGGTATGAAACATTATATTTACGGCAAACGGCTATGTAGTGCACTATGACGTCATCGTTTTCGTGGTCCATTTATGAGCGTCTGCCCGTGTAGACAATCGGTGACTACACACGGGATGTGTTCGAACGGTGCACGAATACTCTCCGCTGGTTATAAGAGGCACGTTGTATTTGTATGGACTCCAGCATTTGGTAACAAGCCATTTAGGCCTTCTAACCAGATAAACCCACAATTGCCTATCTCCTGGTTCTACGAGCGCTAAGGATGAACAAGGTCATAATTCTATGAAGTTTTCCAGCTACTTCTGATTCTTGATTGCATACTTGAATGAAAATTCAGCATTTATTCCTTTTCATTTCAATGTGTTTCATTAACTTCAGATTGGTAAACATTAAAACGACCCGAGTCATTTCGGGAAGCATATCGAGAAGATGCTACGCAGCGTTGAGACCGACTGGATTTTCTGAGTAGAGGCTCTGTTAAGAACGCCATTACAGCATTTGACGGTTGCCCCAACAATACATTTTATTCGGTCGAAAGTTCTTTTGAAATACCTTGCATCTCTGCTGTCCTGTCGGCAAGTCTATTTCAACATCAAATCTAGTCGTACGGTTTATTTCACTTTCTTTCCTTTCATATTTTGACCTGATGGTTGTATTTAATAAGCGGGACCACAGCAATGTTGGCGGTGCTGTTTGTGTTTAAAGTAATTTAAAATATTCTGATTATTTCATAAGGCAACTCGAGCACTCACGAACAATTTAAAATCCGATCTGCATCAGTGCTGGATTAGTGGATGTCATCCAACGGAATGATTAAGAACTTACCCAGCCACTCAACTGCTGCGATATTGAAGAATGCTTTTAACAATAGACGTCTCAAGGTCATTGTGAAGTCCTAGTTTGCTCAAAAAATTCAGTAGAGTTCACATTCTCAGTTAAGACGTCAACGTTCATTGCGCAATGGACTTTTGGAGGTTAACTGTGACCACAAGCGATCCCCCGCCTTTACATGTTTTATGCGTCTATTTTAGGGGCAAATCAATTCCTTCGGTATTCGCACTCGGACCATCTTGCAAATAACCTACCTTGATAACTTTCGAGTGTTTAAATTGGCTTTAAAACGCCTTAGACGGGAATCCACATGTTGTATTTCACCCTG